CGTGTTCATTATTAAGAGGGCGGGTGGTGTCAGGCCCTTGGGGCTCTTGCACGTCTTGGCTAGGGCCCAGCGTCGCTTGAGACGTCCTCTCATCAGAAAGTGGCAGGCCGATGACTTCAAGGCTTTCTTTTGGAGCACCCACGGTAAGGCTTCTGAGAAATGCGTTTGGATCCAGGCGGCCTGGTCTGAACACTCCACCTATAAGGATCGTGCGTGCGCCACTCTGTTGCTCGACTTAAAGAAGGCTTTCGAGCTTGTTCAGCATCATCATTTGCTGGCCGCCGCGGCGGCCACTGGCTTTCCAATGTGGCAATTGTATTTCTTGGTCCAAATCTATCGCGCTCCACGCATCCTTGATGTTGGGGGCGCGGTTGGGCCCCTCCTTAGTGTTGAGCAAACGATTGTGCCTGGATGTACTTTTGCCACTTGTATGTTGCAATTGATTCTCTTAGGCCCTTTGGATGCCGTGCAGGCTGCCTGCCCTGCCGTGCAGCTATCCGTCAACGTTGACGATTTCGGCCTCATGCGCTGGGGCACCGAGTCCCGCGTGGTCGGCGACATCACCGCCGCAGGCCAGCACCTGACGCAGCAGCTGCGCCAGGTCGACTTAAAGTTCGCTCTCGACAAGTCTCGCGTCTTGAGCAATTTCTCTGCAGTTCGCACCTCCATTGCAGCTAAGTTGAAGAGCCTCCAACCCCTGCCCGTTAGGTCTGAGCGTAATCTCGGCGTTGACTACGGCTCGGGCAGGGTGGCTAGTCGGGGCGCGGTCCGAGGGCGTGTCGCTTGCATGAGGCCTAGGATGGTCCGAATGGGCTTCCTTGAAGGCTCCAAACCTCGTCGCCGCGAGCTCGGACGCATGGCTCGAGCTGCTCTGGAGCCGTCGGTCCTTTTTGGGGCGTCTGTCATGGGTACCAACGGGCAGGAGTTGGAGGTTCTTCGAGGCGCGGCTGGTATGCTGCAGGACCACCGTCAGGACGGTAAGTCTCGGACTTTGAGCCTCCTTCTTTCCCCAGTGCCCCGCTTGGACCCCATCTTTACGGCCACTTGGTTGCCCGTGAAGTTCTACCTCCATGCGCTCTGGCACCGTTGGTTGCCCCATGAGGCCTTGGATTTCGGGCTCCGTGAGGCCCACAGGCACCTTTCGGGGCTCGAGCACCCTTGGTCCTCCATTAGGGGTCCCTTTTGCGCCCTGTGGGCCTCGCTCAGGCGTGTGGGTATCACTGCTACTTCGTCCTCGTCCTGGATCTGGCCTGATGGGGCCGACGTCAACCCGATGGACTACTGCCCAGTCACTGTTCAGGAGCTCGTGTTTCGTGCCGTGGAGTCCTGGCAGTGTCGTAAGGTCGCGGCACATCTTGAGGTTGAGGACTTCGCCAACGGTCTGATCTTGGGACCCCTGAAGGCCCTCCTTGGCAGTGAGAGTAAGTTGTCGGCCCAGCAGCAGTGCCACCTCCGCAGCACGGTCATCGGTGGGCAGTGGCCGCAGAAGAGGCAGCGGGTCGCGGGTTATGACACGTCTCCCTCTTGTCTGCTCTGCCCTCTGCAGGAGGGGGCCCTTCTGCATCGGCACTGCTCTTGCTCTCGCTTGGACAGCCTTGAGGACAAGCCTGGCTTTTTAGCTGCAGCCGGGGCTGCGGCGACTACTTCTGTGCTGGCTTCGCTTTTCGCCGAGCGCTGTCTTGCGCCATTCCCATCTCTGAGCCGCCCCCCTCCTGGGTCTCCTATTTGTTGGGGGCTTGGAGGGCGCTCGGAGTTCACGGGAGATATCTATACTGACGGGTCCGTTTTCGAGGCTCAGTATCCCAGTCTGGCCAGTGCGGGCTGGGGGTGCGTTGCATTGCATAAGGACCGTCGGGAAGTTGTCTCTTTTTGCTCAGGACCGCTCATGGATCCACTGCAGTGTATCAACGCTGCTGAGCTTGTTGCTGTCACGCATGTTCTTCGTTTCGCGTCTCCGCCTGTTCGTATCTACACGGATTCGGCCTTTGTGGCCGATGGTTTCCATGTGCGCGGCTAAGAGGCTACCTGTGCGTGTGTTTCTGCGCACGCTCATCTCTGGAGGGAGTTCTGGAGGCTGGTGGATGACTGGGGCGGGGGGATCGCGATTATCAAAATCAAGGGTCACGCGACCCTGGTCGATGCGCAGTCAGGGCGTGGCACCTCTGCGCGCCACCGCTACGGCAATGCTCAGGCTGACGAGGCTGCTAAGAGTGCTGCCTCTTTTGCCAGGGTCTCTGAGGCTGCCGTTGCCCAGCTTCAGGCCCGATGCAAAGTCTTGCATGTCTGGGGCTCCTGGATCGGGCGTCTTTCCGAGGGGCTTGAGGACTGGGCACCCCAAGAAGCATGCTCGAGGTTTGCCCCCAGTGCCCCATTTGGTTCTCGTCCAGGACCCCATCCCCACCGATTTGGTGAGTCGAGCTCGAGCCGCTCAGGCGAGCTGCTCAGGCAAGTTGCATGCCCTTGCTAAGATCCAGCTGCAAGGCGGTCCGCTCGTGGTTGGATGCACGCGATGCGCGTGCTTCGCTGTGTCGAGGCTTTCAGGTTTGGCGAGCCCGTGCCCATCTGAGGTCACGGACCACGCTCGCAAGACTTTGAAGAGGCTTGCGAAAGGTGAATTCAGGCTCAATGGCAAGGTCTATCGAGTTCAGTCCCAGGTCGGGCTCCCTGTCCAGGTGGCCACGGCGGGTGTTTAGGTTTGCCGACGCCCGTGGGCCGTTCTCCCTGTTCGAGGGAGCCTTGTCTGCCCAGCGGGGCCGAGGGCGGTTGTAAGGTGCGCCTTCGGCCCCGCTTTCACTGCTGGCGGCGGACAGACTCTGCCCGCCCCCAGGTTGCGCCCAGGAGGAGGAGGAGGAGGAGGAGGAGAGGAGGAGGAGGAGGAGGAGGAGGAGGAGGAGGAGGAGGAGGAGGAGGAGAGAGGAGGGAGGAGGGAGGAGGAGGAGGGAGGATGGGAGGAGGGAGGAGGAGACGGAGGAGGAGGAGGAGGAGGAGGAGGAGAGGAGGAGGAGGAGGAGAAGAGGAGGAGGAGGAGAGAGGAGGAGGAGGAGGAGGAGAAGGAGGAGGAGGAAGAGGAGGAGACGAGGAGGAGGAGGAGGAGGAGAGGAGGAGGAGGCAGGAGGAGGGAGGAGGGGAGGAGGAGGAGGAGGAGGATAGGGAGGAGGGAGGAGGAGGAGGAGGAGGAGATGGAGATGGAGATGAGATGGAGATGGAGATGGAGATGGAGATGGAGGAGGAGGAGGAGGAGGAGGAGGAGGAGGAGGAGGAGGAGGAGGAGGAGACGGAAGAGGAGGAGGAGGAGGAGGAAGAGGAGGAGGAGGAGGAGGAGGAGGAGGAGGAGGAGGAGGAGGAGGAGGAGGGTGGAGGAGGAGGAGAAGCAGAAGGAGGAGGAGGAGGAGGAGGAGGAGGAGGAGGAGGAGGGTGGAGGAGGAGGAGAAGCAGAAGGAGGAGGACGAGGACGAGGAGGATGACGAGGAGGAGGAGGAGGAGGAGGAGGCCCGAGCTGTGACCCGAACGCCAGACGACGAGCGGGCCCCTCAGATGAGGGCGAGAGATGCCGCTGCCGCTGCTCGTCCCCGAGAGAGCCCTCGTCGCCACGGCCTGCTTCTCCTCGATGCTGTGGCCAGAGCGCACGACGGGAGAGAGGTCTGGGGAGTAGCGGCACATGGAGCTGGAAAGAGCGGCTGGGGCCAGCCCTTCCACCCTTTCCAGCCCTGGCCGGAGTTTCCCTTTATATTTTTGTCCAGCCCTGGCGACCGCATCCCTGCTGTGTCGGGCTCGCTCCGCCCACAGCCAGTGTGCTACCACCCCTGGCCACTTCCACTTTCACTCATGTTTCAACTTCCATTTGTTCCAGCTTCCCTGTATATCGGTACCTTTTTGTTTCCTAAGGTCCCCCCGTCCGCGGCCGACGTCTTCTCTTGCCTCGTTGATGCCAGCATGCCGGTGCGCAACCCGTTTAGGCCACCCCGCGCTGAGCGACCGCCAGCGCCGCGCGGCAAAGAAGGCAGCTTTCGTCATCGGGGCTTTGTCAAGAGGGCGGAGCGGCGTGTGTCGGCCCGTTTGGGTGGCCCTTCGGAGGGGCCTCTTGGGGGCCCTCGCGGGGGCCTCTGGCGGGCTTCTGCAGGGCCTCTCGGGGCCCGCCGCGTGTCTCGGGGCCGCCTCGGGGCGCGATTGCTGTACCGAGCTCCCCCGAGAAGGCTCGGTGGAGCCGGTTTGCGGCCCCGCCTGGTTGGACTTTGGAGCCGTCTCGGAGGCTTCTCCGGGGGGTAACCTTGGGCCGTCCTGGCAGGTTCTAGGGCCGTCTTGAGGCTCTCGACGAAGAAACAGCTGTGTAAACTGAAACTTTCTGAGCTCCTCGCGGGTTTCTTGGGTCGGCGCTGCCCCCCTCCTCCCCCCCTGACGGCGCCTCCTGCGCCGCCCCTGACGCGCGCGATCCGCGCGCCAGGGAGGGGGGACCATCACCGATCCAAGAAATCCGCGCAGACCTCTGAAAGTTTGTGTTTCGGATGTGTGCGCAGCTGCTTCTTCTTCTTCTTCGTCTTCTTCTTCTTCTTCTTCTTCTTCTTCTTCTTCTAGGCTCTCTTGTGGCCGTGTTCGGGGCTTCTAAGGGCCATCCTGGGGTCCATGTGCATTGTACCGAGGCCATCCTGGGCCCGAGAAGGATGGGGGGCACACGGCGCAAGCCAGCGGTTTTCCAATGGCTTCCAAGGCTTGGCTGGAGGGGCCCTGGGGCACCTCTCGGGGGCTTCATGAGGCCTTCTGGGGCGCCTTGGGCGAACCGTGTGGCCTCTGGGGGATCTCTGGATTGTCCCAAGCCGAGATTGAAAGCATCTTGCAGGTGTTCTGGCGCGGTCTTGAGCCGTCTTGGGGCCGTCTTGGAGCAAAGCAGAGCGACCCAGAGTAGAACGCAGACCAGACATATGTTTCGGAAAATGGGCGCGGGAAATTACATAATCCCTAGCAGCCAGCTATCAGGCGTCCTGACGCGCCCCAGCGTGCCAAAGGCACGGTGGCGGATCTGTACCTCTCCGAAGACAGCTACGGCAAGTTCGGTGAGGGCGTAGTCGCGGCCCACAAGGTGGTCGACGGCGAGGAGGTGCACTACGCCATCGACGCAATCATCGGCCAGGGCATGGCGTCCACTGCCGGCGGCATCGGCGTCGAGAATCTGCAGGGGTCCGCCCTGATCGCCGGCGAGACGTCCAGGGCGTACGACGAGGTCTTCACCCTGTCCTATATCACCGGCCGCTCCGTCGGCATCGGCGCCTACCTGAACAGGCTCGCCATGAAGCAAGCGTCAAGCAGTGGCGAAGCGTCCTGGTTGCCCTATAGGCCCACCAACCAATGTTCTAAGGAAGAACCCACTGTGGTTTGCCCAACCTGTTCCTTGAACATTTCTGGCTGGGGCTGCCTTGTTGTGACACATCGGCTGCATTGAATTCGAGAAGGGCACGGTTTCTGTTCTTGGAACACTTGTCGGCTCTATAGGAGCATCTCGCGGTGGGCATACAGGAATGCCGGGACGGCCGGCCCCTGCCCAGCAGCGGGCCCGGAAGGCAGCGGCTCCTTGGGGCGCTTCCCCCCTCTATTTCGGGGGCCCCAGGGAGGCCTGCCACGGGCCCCCCGGGGGCCGTCCGAGAGGAAAACTCACTGTAGGAAGAGGAGCCGGCCCCCCGGGGGAAGGGCCCAGGGTCTAGGATTGATCAGGGGGGAAAAGACACACAGACACAATGAATCGTCGATTATCAGGAACATGTGGGAAACTATGGGAAGTGGGGGGGAAGAAGAGAATCCAAAACATATGAAAATGTATGGGGGATCCTGTTATTTGTGTGTGTGTTTATTTGTGTGTCCTCGGGCCTCTTCAATTAAGTCGGGCCTGTCCCTCTGCAGGAAGTATATTCCGAAATATGCCAAAAATAGTCTGGGGACGATGTCTTGAGTATTTGTTGGGCATTTGTCGTGCGTAGTTTGGCTAATTTTTCTTTCTGGTCCAAAATCCGAGGACACGCCCGACCTTCGTCTAGGACCCGTTTCCTTCCGACCCCGCTCCCGAAGAGCCGACGGTGCAACACACTTGCAAAATCGCGAAGAATAATCACGACCAGAGCTCCAGATCTCATCGTTCTCCAGCTGTTTCGAGCAATCGAAAGCCGCCGAGGACCGACGAAGGCCTCCGAAAGCCTCGAGCCTCGAGCCCGCCGAGAAGGAAACCTCGCCTCAGTTGTAGGTTTAAGTCGGGCGTGTCCCTCTACAGGAGGGGTATTCAAACATAGACCAGAAATAGTCAGGGGACGATGTTTTGAGTACCTTTTTGTTGTTGTTGCATTTTTACCTAACAGCTTTTGCTGATAGGTTTCTAGTGGTGTCAAAAGAGAGCATCTGGACTCCACAGGGGGGTCTGGGCGGGTGCCGGGGAGGAGGGCCGGGAACAGAGCCGGGCTCGTTTTAAGCCAACAGTCACACACTTCGTGCTCTTCGACCTCCCAGAACTCCATTCCCGGGCCACATTTTGAATAACCGGAGCCAACTGTAGGCCACTTCGTGCTCTTCGACCTCCCAGAACTCCATTCCCGGGCCACATTTTGATGCCCGGAGCCAACTGTAGGCCACTTCGTGCTCTTCGAGTTCCCAGAACTCCATTCCTGGGCATGATTTTGAATGCCCGGAGCCAACTGTAGGCCACTTCGTGTTCTTCTAGTTCCCAGAACTCCATTCCAGGGCCACATTTTGAATGCCCGGAGCCAACTGTAGGCCA